GCGTGAGATATCGATGAATGAAACAGACGCAGCGTTGAATGTTGGCGATGCGAAAGGCGGGTGGAACTGGAGGAAGGAAGAGGACGGGCGGGAAAAGGGTATATGAGGATTGACCGAAAGGGTGTACAATTCCGGGACCCGCAGGGTGTGTGAAATCTAAAATTCTAAACGGAGAGAAGAGCCGGGGCTGGTTGAGAAGCTAAAGCTGGCGGCGGCCTCAGGATAACGAGGAAATTGGTGAGGTGAGAGTGGGATTGAGAGAGAGGTTTGGGAGAGAGGAAGAGGGCGAAATGGGAAGTGTCTACGGACGAGCGAGGTTAATGCTTAGAAACCGACTCGAAATGGGCTCCGCAATCTCTCAGCCCATGGCCACTGTTGCCTAAAATCCAGGACGCTAAATCCTCTTCGAGCATGGTACGGGCTGAGGCGCAGGATCCCCCCTGCGCAAGGTTGAGTGCGATAGCATCCTCCCCGAGGCAGTACTCCAATCGCTAACAGAGTTGAACGTCTAACTCCCTTTGACTTCCCAATTCCTGGGCATCTGACACACCAAAACTCATCTCAATCCCCCCGCAGAGCCTCAACGGTCCCAGACTCGGAGTTACGACTTGGAGTACCTCGACTATGACAAGCGACCTCTTCTATATCCCCACAAACTCCGCCAGATCCGACCGCTCCTCTCCCGCACCCCTAGAACCTTTGTGGTTCACTGACTGCGCATCATCCAGTTCTGTCCGTCCGTCTCAAGAGGCGCATGAGGCAGAAGAATTTCCAAGCTTGTCATTGATCTGAGGGAAAAGCCAAGGAGCAGTTGACGATGGAGTTGGGGGCCAGAAATGGCACCATTGCGTATCGACTGTCGTGGCCCTCTGTTTCTCCGCGAAATGACGGTGTTTGTTTTCATTTCGGTTTCAAATAAGCTCGTGTTTTAGATGAAACCAATCCCAATCTTGGGGGGTCACGATCACAAACCAAACGCAAGGGGAGAAGAGGAAATGGTGTTGTCTACGAATTGTGCTAAAGTCTACTTACAGATGACGTCGGATCGTGGTGGTTTGGCAACCATTGTCACTGTTGTGAACCTATGGAAAACGCCTTGCGGAGAGTCTGCAGGGATCGACACCGGGCGCATCTTTTGGGTGGTCCGTGACCGTTGACTGTCAGCAATAGATAGAGTGACTTTGGTTTAGCAGTCCGGAAAGAACTCGGACTTCTCCTGGTAAGGACACCAAGATCAATATTTCGAGTGTCTAAGAAGGAAGATCGTATAGGATTATGGGAGGACTGTTCTTTCAGGGACCTAGGTATCTTGTATTATACTTGCAGACTACACGCCCTCGTTTGGTGTTCAGTCAATGCCCGCCTCTTTTCTGAATGATCCTCGTGTGGCCATTCTGACATCCTACGGATACTCATCTGGTAGTTCATTGGCATTGACCACGCTAAAGTGGCATATTTGTAAACTAGTTTCTATTCTATTCGTTGGTGGTCTCTGATTGACGAGACGCATTGGTGTTGCAGTCGATGCATTGCATTTCCACCCTCCACCTCAGCCCTCCTTGACGGCTGTGCCTTGCAATCGATGGCGATGCGCAGCCCTCTGCATATTTTGTGTGCCATTGATTTGATAGGGACTTGGGAAATCTTGAATTGTTTTGATTGATCTTATCATGGATGTGTTGTAGCTCGTTAGGAGGGAGACTCACCGAGACATGCATTGTCGTTGCTGGACCTGTGAGTGAGAAATCCTGGTACTTGAAACAGGATATGATCGACTGGCAACCTTCATCGAAGGGAGACACGACGACTCACACGCGTTATCGAACATCACCGAGACCTCCTCATCTTGGCTGCATCTAGATCGAACACAAGACACACCAACCTCAAGTATTCTCCTTCAACTGGTTCCTGTTCCTGTTCCTGTCTCCCATGGACTCTCCACCGCCAACGCCTCCTTTCCCGTAGCATCGGCCCACAGCCAATGGACCGATGCTGCATTTACTCCACGCATAGGGCTGCTGCTCTCCGCAGGGGTTGGTCGAAACAAAGGTCATGTCACCCGTTGACTCAATGGCCGGCGATTTCCCTTTTTGGTTACGAGCGTGGACCCCCATCTTTTTCCAAGCTGCTGCATTGCATTTCATCGCACTGCTAACCTTTCAGAGCCTAGGGAAAGGAAAGAAAACTTAGGACCTTGACCCCAGGTGACAAAATGACTTAGGTTAAGGTAACCTAAGCTTAGAGGACTCGTTACTGTATTTATTTTAGCACCTTCTGCTCAAGTCTTGGGTTTTCTTGCTCCCCGAGGGGAGAGCTTCTGCCCTGAAGCATGCGTCCCAGATTGAGGCCGCATGTCCTAGATTTACCAGCCGGAGTCCGTAGCCGCCACCAGAATGAATCTCATCAATTGTCAATTGATCGAGACAAGTCGAGTCATCGCTGACGCCCGCTCTTTCAATCTGCGTCAGTAATCACGCGTTTGTAGATTCTCGCGCCTTGGCTTATCTTTTAAGGATAGCACGAATGCGCGAGGGTCCTTTTGCGACAGCATGAAGGCATCGTAATCATCCTACTAATCTTGTCACCAAATTCCTGCTTACAACCAACCAAGATACACGTACGCAATATGCATACGCCCTCTCAATAGAAACAACCACCAGATACGTAAATATACACGCAAGCCAGGTGTTTCATTTCGGCCCTAGTTGCAATTCGTTCATTTATTCCAAGAACTTTTTGTCTTGTACGATGTTATCAAGTCCTATACTAACAGCCATTTTTAAACACGTCCCTGCCATAAGCCAATCAGAGTCAATTTTATCGAGCAGCCTACCAAAGACCCTCTTGTGTTCAGGGACAAATCTGGATGCCTCGAGTGGTGAACCCCATTCTCAAGGCATCCGTATTTCTGGTTCGCAAGGGATACGTATGCATTTGCGCCGTTCCTGGGAACCAGCCAGTAGTGGAATTCGTTTTGGACATGAACACGATACCGTATCACCCTTGTATGATTATTGATGATACTGCTAGTTTCGGGGGTCTAATGGCGCAAACTAGAATAACTTCTTGACAAGCTTAACGGGGCAGCTCGTGATCAAGGCACCCGCGAATTGGGACTTTTGATTCGACATTGACATGCTCAGGCAGAGTCGATGATCTATGCTGTGATTACAAGATCCTAGCGGTGATCAGTATCAACACAATCTAGATCTTCCTTGCCCGGTATAGGTCTCCTTGCGTTGTCTACCTGTCGCCCCAGACTCCAAGACCCATTTAGATATGTTTCTATTTTCGATATAACCAGCTACCGTATAGCCGTATGTCTTAGAAGCGTATGATCAAATGATAGAAATTCTGCAGGGAACTATGAGAAGTCTCCCGTATCCCTAAAGTCTCAGGTCTACAATCTTTATTGAGATATGAGCGGGATAACCAGTCCAGTATCAACTTGTCATGAATCATTTCTTATAGCATAATCACAACAACACTACGTTAAATACAATAAAAATTGACGAACGAAACAGGCTATTGGATTCTCATAACTAAAAACATAATGCAATCTCATAACTCGGATGATTCTGAACCTCTGTCTATTCCTTTTTCCCTCTGCCAACGCCAACGCCAAATCGAGCCAGATGACCATCTCAAGATAATAACACAATCTTATACCCAACCAGCATACTCGTCATGGGACGGAATCTCCACATAAGGAGCATTCCTCTCATCCTCAGTCAGAGGAGAAACGGTGTGAGACCGATCAACATGATCCCGCACACTGCCGACTCTTCTCGGACTATTGCGTACGGTCCTAGATCTGCTAGTATCAGGCGTCTTATATTGTCCCTGGGGTGGGAGAGGAACGCCCTTGTCCACGATTACTTTGTTTCCTACTTGTTGACCGCGAACGGCATGTTCGCGCTTGGAGGAGCTCGCGTGAGGATCACTATACTGTCTTCGGGGCTGCAGATCTGTTAGCTCTATTCCTCTAGATGAAGAACCTACCTGTCTTGCACCTTGGATTGGTGCCGGAGAGTGGCACGGGATGTATACACCTGGCGGACTGGTGTATACCCGATCAGAGGGCCTCGATTGGGAAGCCATGTGCATACGAGGCTCTTGTCTATATGCCCCGGGCTGGTGGGCTCTTTCGGGCACCCTCAACTCCTGATGACCCCCGGTTGGCTGTGTTGTCTGCAACTGTCCTCTCCCATGGGAGGCTCCAGCACCATGGGTTTGCTGAGCAGTAAACCCCCCATAATCCCTCCTTTCCCTCTTCTTTTTCGATGCCTCACAGTTAGGGCACGAACCTAATCGGACCTGCCGATTCTCAGTACTGCTGTGCATGTTCTTATAGGGGAACACCCCATGAAAGGACAAGCATGGGCAGAACATCTCCCAACGATCTTGCCAGCAAGTATAAGTGCGGACATACCTATGGTGCCCACACTCCTGGTAATCGTGGTAGACATCGAGACACATTGTGCTAGTGTGTGAGGATAGGAAGTTCTTTGGTGTGTGATATTGGCGTAGAAATGGTGTTGTTGGTGGTTAAAGACGCAGGCTTGATGATGTCTGCGTTTGGATGGGGAGGCTGTTGAGATTGTGGTAGAATAATTAAGCAGATCGCCGCGATTGCTTTATATACTTGATCGCAATTGTTCGAAACATGAGGCTGTTTCTCTGTCCTAATGGTGAACAACTGTCGAATGCGAGAGTCAGCTGAACAAGAGACGTTGGCCATGTTCTTTGTTCAACGCCGTTACAGATGTTTAGACGATCATGTAATTGCGATAGAAACATTGATATAATGTTTAGTGTTCAAATAAATGAACAAGTCTGAAGTCAAGGTACATCTAAACTCCTACCTCTATTTTATTGAATGAATTGAACACTTTCTCCTTTCCGGTAAAATATTTGGGTATAATAAGAACGCCGTCAAGATTCATTCTCTTTGCCAAAGACCTTTCTCTTCTATACCCTGGCCAAACCACTCCAACAAAATGCCTTCCCATGAACAGACTCGGGATTCCTCCGTCGCTGGTCGACAGCAAGATCAATGCCCACAAGCACGAGGAGGGTGGAAAAATTTCATATCGTATCTCATTTGGCCACATTGGTGTATAACAAGACTTATTCGTTGGCTTATTGGAGCATCATCACCTGATCACCCTATCCCCGAGAGCAGATCAACCTGGGAAACATGGGCTTTCTCGAAGGGAAACCTTCCAAGTGAAGCTCCGATGGCGCGGACAACACTTCGTACAAACCGCTACCACTTGGCTAGATTGCGTGCTCAGGATATGGCCCGGCAGTCTCATGGCCAGCCTCATATCCCTCCCACAACAAGGAGCTTCGACTTCCCAAGTTTGGGATATGTTGAGAACGGGTATTTCATCCCTCCCACAAGCCATTTTGACAACAACAGTCCTGCCCTCTCTAGTAGTCATATGCTAAGTGCCGCGGTTTACCTAAGTCAAGATGGGGCTACACCCCTTACTGCAGAAACAGTTCGTTGGCCTTTCCTATCCTCATCTTCTGAGTACGGTGAGGAATCAGACGACGAATCAGGCATAGAGATGGAAGATGTGACCCCCATAGCTAAGCTGTCCGGATTCATTTTGCCATCTTCTTCTGAGCCCAACGATAATACAGATGAAGAATTTAATGGGAGAATAGGAACTGTGGCCTCAACGGCCAGGGATTTCAAAAACCCTCGCACAGCCCTTCCGATTGCAGCTGACGGTTTTGGTGAAACTTTGTAGCCTCACGCGTCACTTGTTGATGGCATTCCTAGAGAGAACTTCTCTTCAGACCCTGAGAGTTCTTTGAACGCTTCATCTCCCGCAGTTGACGTGGCATCTACAGTCGAGACCATCGAAGACCGGTGTGGAGGGTGAAGATGAACAAGACGAAGACCAGAAGGAAGAGACAAGGTCGACCGCTGTGCGATCGGTACTATTGTCTCCAGTTGGTCAACCAACCTTGATCCACCTACCTGCCCGACCGCAAGTTAGCCCAGGACAACAAGTTCTAGGTTCTCCCCAGTCCGATTCGAAAAGTGATTTAAGACGTGCCTCGTCGATTTGATCGCAGCAAATGGGACTATGGGAAGGAAATGACTGGAGAGAGGGGAGGGTTGATCCCGGATGCATTTGTTAGGAGAAAAGTCGCTGGCTATTTGATCCGACATCCAGATAGAAGAAATTTTGAATAGTATCATTGGGCGCTTCTTTAAGATGGAAGAGTGTCCTAGAACTCTCCGCACTAAGAATAGACAATTTTTCAGATTGACAATATGGGTATCTTACCACCAATTCTTTTCCTTCTCGCTACCAAACATCTAAACATGTGCCCAACCTCTTTCAACAAGAACCTGCATCTCGTTAATCAAGCAAAACTCGCCCGGTTCTCTCCCCCCTAATTTCTCCCACTCCGCAACACGTCCGCTGACCACCCATGCGTCAAAAGGTGATGATACCCACCGCATTATGCGGTTGATCCAGAGACCGGAGAAGATCTGCCATGTTGACACCCATGCGCCTTGTTCGGGATGCACAGCTTGGTATGCATGTAGGTTATAGCCTACGCGGACATGAGGATTGAGGTATACACCTCTAGTTTTGGAGAGTGGATTGTCGGCGTGGATAAGGCAGCATTCACAGCCTTCGAGGTGGTGTTCAGCCAGAGAGTCCGGAATACCACGGAAGCGTAGCTTCGACGATGAAGTAAAAGGCTCTACGGGCATGGCGACTGATGAGGCAGTCAGTGAGGAAGCACCCGTCTTTAAGCGTTAGAAAACAAACCAATTCCATTCCAGCAGCTCGCAACAGGCACAGCATCCAAATGATTAACAAGAGCATTCCTCGAAACGCTGCCCTTGAAATACGGCCAGGTAGACATCGCATGCGCCTGTCCGTTTGTATCCCTCAGCGCAAATGTATCATAGTACTGCGGCGGTTTCGAGAAATCAAGCGAGCAAGCTGCAGCGTAGTCGCCGCCATTCGTGCCAAGGAGCTTGAGCACATCGTCTGTCTGCAAACTTTGTGAGATGCTGGCCACCCTGACATAGCAGTTGACGTACCGTGAAGACGACGTCGTTGAGGAAGAGAACCTTATCGAAATGCTCTCCTTTCTTGGATAGGTCTATCAAGTCCTGTAGCGTCTTGTTTCTCAGCTTTGCAAGATACGGTATCCTTCTTAACTCGCGTTTCCCCCTAGGTGTGTCGATCCAGCCTTCTCCCTTATTCGGATTCTCAATCTCATCTTTATGCGTGACATCCGACATCTCCACCCGATGGGGAACTCCCAGTTTCTCGAGCTCCTGATCCATGTGATGCAGCTCCCTTTTAGTCTTGTCCCAGCTCCCGCTCTCAAATACACTGACAAAGACATTCTCTCGCCCGAAAAGCTTTGCAAGCTCTATCACCGCAGGACCCCAGTGATCTCTAATTACGCGCTCGTTATTGAAGTGCATGCTTGCGATATAGATGCGCCCTGGAGGCTGCGAGAGCTTCGGGGCTGGAGTGCGATCGGCATCGAGTAGGTTTCTATGAATTCGAAGGACATCGAGAACGTTGATTATGACGACGAGAATGAAGACTATCTTGGGGAAGCGTGAGCGTAGGAGGCGACGCAGGTAGAGGCGGTTCGTATGCGAGACCATGATTCCTTATTCGTGGTTATGAGGACAGCAAAGCATCATAGGTAGGGAGTGCAATTACTCCGTAGTAGTAAGATTGGTGCAACCTCTGCGCAATTTAGCGGACAAGAGCATGGAATATCATCCGAGAAGAAAAATCATCGTTGGTTATGATGTTAACTGCACAATTGACATTGGATCCATCCCTTGCTTGGCTCATGTCGACTAATGAGTAAGGTACACCTATAGCCACACCCGATAAGTCTGGTCGTCTAACTTAAATGGCTGTTACCTTGAGCTACCTTAGCTTAGTGACCGCCTACTACAATGGGGAAAGTTGGCTCACCCCCAAAGCTCAGCATGTAGCAGAATTCTGTTTCAGCGACATGTTCTGTATCGAAGCACTTTGGACATCCAATAATCCCCGTCATTCATCATGGGAGCCTGTCAATTTGGGGTGAGGTCTCAGCACGTCACAGGAGTCCCCTGCCAAAGCCCACTGAGCTAACAAAACTTTAGTTCTTGAGAAATGCAACTCATGGTCGAACATGGCGTCCAAGTATTCAAACAAATATCAGATTAGTTTCTTTATGCTCTCAATAGGTTACACATCTTCCTTCGCGTATTTTATCATATAGAGATAACATGAGATTGGTTTTGTCTGGCACCCATGGTCCAACCTCCGCTGACCCGGTATATCCCATAACTAATCTTGTCATGATCAGTGTCATGACGCCTTCATTAACTCGACCCGAGCCTCATGGAAAAATGTCAGTGGTATGTCCACTTGAAATTCGTCGGCCTAAGAATCTTAAAACTCAAGATTGGTCAAATCACTCTATCACCGTCTATTTGGCAAAGTGAAGGTCATATCCTAGCCACTTCCTTCGGAGAATGGCATCGACGGAGAGACCAGGGTAGCCATAGGTGAGAGGCAGGAAGAAGTACCAGCCAGCAACGATCAGAGACAGAATAGCACCACAGGCAATCCAAGCACCGAGCATGCTCTGACCGGCGAAGCGCTCACGAGCAGTGACATGGTGCCTGGGGCTAACAGGTCCCTTCTTGTCCTTGATAGTGACCTCCTCAGGAGCTTCAGAGTTGAAGATGAACTCAAGCAGAGCGCCAGCAACAAGACAAGAAGCAAGATGAGCTGGAAGGTAGTGATGCAAGAAAAGTTGACGTCCCATAAGGAAGAAAGGGAAGTAATGAGTAGCCCAAGCAAGAAAGAAGAAACCGGTAGAGTTATACAGGCGCGATCGAGTTCCTAAAATTGCGTTATTAAATCAATTCTCAAGATGTATTTCGACATTACTTACGGCGGTCGAGAGCATCAACACCACGGCGCAGAGATACCTGATCAGCGAGAAGAATACCGGCATAAACAGCGAGAAGACTGCTAGCGAGCCACCAGCCAATCGGGTTGCCCAAGAAGTAGATCTGTTGGCGTGTCTCGCTCTGAGTCCAGAAGCTCACACCACGGAGCAGGAAAGGCCACTGGTAAGGGTGACTAGCATAAGGGTGGCTGCTGGTAAGCTTGCTGTTGTGGTAGAACATGGCGCGCTGGAGCTCGAACCACTTCTGGAGGAAGGGCAGAGACTTGACCTTGCGCTCAGGCTTCTGGCGACGAGGGTGATCAGCAGTTAGAGAGGGAATGTCCTCGGCGATCCAGACGTTGGAGCTGGGCGCAATCTGCTTGTTACCGTTGATCTCCTGCTGCTTGTAACCCCACTCAGGGAGAGGCTTGGTGTGAGTCCACATGGCAACCTTGCTTGGGTTGTGAATGAGCTTGAAGTGGCCTGCAACAGTCTTGAAGTTCTGGTTCTTCTTGCCGTGCTCAATTCGGACTTCAAAAAGCGTGTCCTTCTCACGCTTGCCGAAAGCCTCCTCGGGAGTAACAGCAGTGAATTCCTGGTTGGTGGGGTAGTAAGGAGAAGCGACATCGTGGGAGAGTAGAATCTTGTCGGTTCCAACGTGGCGAAGGCGAACCAGTTCGTGATTCTTGACAATGCGGCCCATCTGCTTATCGTTATTGGCGGGCAGGATCTCCCAGTAGTTGTTGGTGTCGTTGTAAGGGTAACCAGTGATCTGCTGGCCCTGGGACGAAACACGGCCATCGTCGTATCGGAGAGGGTAACGGTCCTCATGACTGTGAAGGTACGTCTTGGTCTCCTTGTGTCGAATTGTGATCTGGTCATAGTACTGAATGTCGATCGAATTGGCCAGCATGACGTTGTCGCTCAGGGTCTCCTGGAATTCAGGAGTCATGAAGTCATCACCAGGACCGGATCGGTAGAGAACGGCGAAGTGAACCTGGAACCAGAAGAGGTAGAACAAGAAAGGCATGATGATCAGACCAAAAGCCCGAGCGGCAAAGTGCTTGGTAAATTCCTGCAGGCTGATGGCACCACCAGGTCGGTTAATGTTGAGGAGGTCCCAGAGGTCAATGACAACGGCAGAGCCAATGGTAACGAAGGCAAATACACCAACATACTTGACCGAGATATCGCAAGACAGGGCGAATCCGGTAAGGATGAGCCACTTCCACCACTTTCGGGAGAAAGGCTCATGTCGGAGCTTGTACCATTTGATGTAGAAGAGGAGACTGCAGGCCATGGCGAGGACCAAAGTCGCATCTAGGAGGATGAGACGGGTCTGGCCGATGTGGGCATTGTCGAGGAGGACAAGACCAGCGGCGAGGATGCAAGCGGGGAGACTGTAGCCAGATTCCCACATGATGAGATATGTGACCGAGACAGTCAAAGCACCTAGAGTAGCGGGGAGAGCTCGGTACGCGACATAAGGAACTTTATTCGCAATGTAGGAGTCGCCAATGTTCTCGAAGTGGAAGTTACCATCGTAGCCAACGAGCCAGCCGACAAAGGCGAACAGAAGCTTGCCGAAGGGAGGGTGAACGTCGAAGAAGTAGGTTCGCTCGAGGTAGTATGAGGCAAACTATCAAGAAACGGTTAGCTTTAGCGTCGAATGCTATTGAATCCAGTCGTGCTTACCTTTCCAAAATGCACCTCGTCAAAGACAACCTCGTTCGGATGGCTGATGCCCCAGAACCGAGTAACGAAGGACAAGATAGTGATGAGGAAGAGGCCAATCTTGTACTCGGTC